CAAAGCAAGCTCAGGGTGGATCTCAAGGACACCACACAAATTCCGAGCGCAAGCAAGCGGCCACAAGGTCAGTTCAAGAGTTCACTAGGATATATATAGGAAAGCACAACAAGCAGAGCAAGCAACAAGACTACAGCAACCGAGGGCCTACCTCAACAAGCCCCAACTGCACACAGAACCTGTGGTGGTCACCAAGCGCCAGGGCCTTGGTGAAGACATCTGCAGTGTTGGCCTCTGGGGCCACAAAGTCCAGGCGTGCCTGGCCGCGTCGCTGCAACTCTCGCAGGAGGAAGTACCTCACGTCAATATGCTTCACTCTGCTTTCCAGTCGAGGCTATTGACAGAGGAGGATCATGGCCTTGTTGTCAGCGTACAAGGTCGGTGCAGAGCGAGGCCGCTCACCAAGGTCGGCGAGCAAGAAGTTCAACCAGCGAAGCTCCTGTGCCGCCATGGCACCAGCGTAGATCTCTCCCTCTGCACTGGAAGTAGCCACAGACGACGACCGCGTAGACCTCCACGACACAGCACCAGCTCCCAGACTGAAACAGTAACCCTGAGTCGAGCGCTGAGTCGCCACGTCGTCAGCGTAGGAAGAGTCGCAATGACCAGTCAACGCCACTGGTTGAGTCCCTCCAAGCACAAGCCCCATGCCTGATGTAGTCGCCAGGTACTTCGCCACCCACACAGCAGATGTCCAGTGGACAGGACGGTGTCTCCCAATCGCAACAAAGCGAGAAAGGATGCTGAGGGGAAAGGCGAGGTCCGGCCGAGTACAAGTCATCAGGTACATGAGGCAGCCCACCAGCTCTGCGTAGGGACCACTGGACTCAAAGGGCTCGTCCGGAAAAGGGCCAGTGAGTCTGTGGTCAACCGCAAGAGGTGTGGGCTATGTGGTGGAGAACTGGAAGTCGAACAGCCGAAGGACCTGCTGCACCATGTGTGACTGAGTCAGTGTGATGGTGCGAGCGGCTCTGTCCCTGGTGATCTGCAGGCCAAGGTAGCGCTGCAGTTCACCTAGGTCAGTGCACTTGTGTCTCTTCTGCAGTTCGGACTTCACCTGAGCCAGAGCTGCCCTGTCTGCTGTGGCAAAGACCAAGTCGTCGACGTACACTAGTATAAAGAAAGGAGTGGAACCAGTGCGAACAAACAGCGACGGGTCGGCAGAGGAAGGACGAAACCCAAGGTCACAAAGCGTGGAGCGAAGAGTGTCGTGCCACTCACGGGGCGACTGGCTTAGACCGTAGACTGGCCGTCTCAGGCTCCACTGGGTCCCAGGTGGGAAGGTGTCAGTGAAGCCAGGAGGTCGGCGCAGCCATATCTCCTCGTGTAGTCGGCCCTAGAGAAACGCAGTAGAGAAGTCAAGGGAGTGCAGCTCGTAGTCTCGCTGTGCTACTACGTGCAGTAACACCCGAAGAGTAGTCATCTTCAGGGTCGGGGCGAAGTTCTGGAAGAAGTCAACTCCCTCACGCTGACTGAAACCCCTAGCCATGTAGCACGCCTTGAACACAGGCGGTGAACCAGGCGGCCGCTTCACCTTGAAGAGCCACATGCCATCGACTACGTTCGCCCTGGGAGGGGGAACTGCGTCGACGTAGGTGCCTGTGGATCTCCAAGACGCTAACTCCGAGGCCATAGCCGCTTTCCACTGTGAGGCCCACGCCCCTGACACTGCCTCGCGGTAAGTACGAGGAGTCGGTATGTCAAGGGCGTTGGAGTCTCCCTCAGAGGATAGCAGCATGGCCCAGACAGAGGGAGAAGCGGCTGCCTAGTACTCCAGCTCATACTCTCTGTCCTCTAGGACGTCACAGCCAAGGGCAAACTCACCCCTGACGGACAGAGGACGGGAGGGAGGAGCTGGCACCACACGGGTGGTGTAGTCAAGGCGACTGGCGGCAGCAAACTCAGCGACAGCGGCAGTGAGAGCCGAGACAGATGACAGAGGGAAACGAGAGTCGGTGACAAGAGTGGCGAGGACACGAGAGACAACAGGACGAACAACACGGTAGTAGTCAGTGACAGGAGTAGGGGGGAAAGGGAGAGAGGACGGAGGAGGAGACGGGAGAACGGACTCAGGAGGAGGACGACGAAGAGACGAACAAAGGAGGGCAGTGCGGAGGTCGGTAACGGGAGACGAGTGACGAGCACGCGGAGGACAGGGACGGACACGAGAGTGTGGGACAACAGGTGGAGGAGACTGTGGTGGAGGAGAAGACCGGACCGCCGGACTGTCGTCAGGAGGAGGAAACGTGGAGGAGAGGAGGGAAGACCAAGGGCCCGAAGGCCACTCACGGGTGGGAACAACTGCCGCTCCAGAGGGAGCTGCGGTGGGCGCGGCTGCGGCGGCGGTGTCTGCTGCTGCGGCGGCGGCTGCTGCTGCTGCTGCTCCAGCAGGTCCAACTGCCGCAACTCCTGCCGCTCCCTCTCCAACACCACCTGCTCCTCACGCGCACGCCGACGGGTCGCTTGGAGACGCGTGTCGTGGCAGTGGGGAGGCGGAGTGGACTCCGCAGAACCAGTGTCTCCAGCTCCAGTCTCCTCAGAACCAGCACCTCCAGTGCCAGCGCCTCCAGCACCAGCACCCCCACGACCAGCACCTCCAGGACCAGCACTCCCAGAACCAGCACCTCCTGTGCCAGCACCTCCAGCTCCAGCACCCCCAGAACTAGCACCTCCAGTGCCAGGACCTCCAACTCCAGCACCCCCAAAACTAGCACCTCCAGCTCCAGCACCCCCAGAGCTAGCGCCACCTGCGCCAGCACCTCCAGCTCCAGCACCCCTCGATTGAGCACCCCCAGACCGAGCACCGCCAGCGGCTGCACCTCCAGCTCCAACACCAACCGAGTCTACAGGAACCTGTCGCGGTAGTGCCGAAGGCTGCTGAGGGGACTGTGAGGAGGACTGCGGGGAGGGAGACGCTCCCTGACGCTCGACCGAGGGTAGAGGGGTAGCGTGGGACACACCAGACGGGGTAGGACCAGGGGGGGGCGGGGATACCGGAGGAGCGGGAGCATGAGGAGGAGAGGGTGCGAGGAAAAGGGGGGGAGGGGGTACTGGGAGACCTCGACAGGGGTACCAGGTGTAGTAGGACACGGACTCGTCAAACCGGACGTCACGGGAGTCTAGGAACTGGTGGAGGGGAGGGTGGTAAAAGGACCAGTCGGCAGAGTCCACCGGGAAACCAAGGAAGACACAGGGGACGGCGCGTGCCGAGAGCTTGTCCGCGGAGGTGTCGCGAACAAGCGCAAGGCAGCCCCCGACACGAAAGGCCGACCCAACACCAGGGGACCCGGTCCAAAGACTGGTCGGTGAAGGCTCAGGCCGCGAGACGCGCGGCTGGAGGTTCAGCTGGTGTGCGGCGTAGCGAACCACGTAGGGCCACAGAAAATGGGGCGCACGGGCATGGATCATGGACGTGCGAGCAATGTCCATGACCAAGCCAATGCGGCGCTCAGCAACCCCATTCTGCTGTGGGGACTCCGGAAGCGTCCAGGACTGTACGATGCCGTGTTCGCCGCAGATTCCGCCAAGAATGCCGGAGCGAAACTCGCCCTCACGGTCGGAGTGTAGACAACTGACACGACGACCACGAGTGCCCTCAGTGGCCAGAAGCCACCGGATCAGCGTAGCAGTCACATCGGGCTTCTTCGCTAGAGGAAACACTGTGGTGTACGTGGAGAAGTCGTCGACGACCACCAGAAAGTAACGCTCTCTCCCAGATCCCTGCGTCGGGGCAGGGCCCCAGACGTCCAAGTGGAGAGTCTCGAAGGGAGCAGTGGCCGGACGAAGGGAGGAGGAGTGAGGAGTGGCGCGTAAGCGACCGGCGACGCAAGGAGTGCAAGGGGGAGCAAGTGAGGTAGGGAGCGACGGAAAGGTGCGTGGGAGACCTGTGACAAGCCCCTGGCTGGTCATGCCGCGGAGGCGGGGGAGCGACGGGTGACCAAGGCGGTGGTGCCACAAGACGATCCGGTGGGTGAGGGAGCGACAGGAGCAAGACGCAGCAACCAGACAGGACACCGCGACCGGACTAGACACTGCAACTGTACCAGACACGACCACCTGGCTAGACACAACAACCGGACTAGACACCTGGACTGGAGGGGACGCAACGACCAGAGCGGACGACGCAACCGGGGAGCGCTCGGTGTGGAGAACGTAGAGACAGGAGCGGGGCTCCCTGGTGAACGTGGCCAGAACAGCACCTGTGGCAGCGTCTGTACAGACCGCAGTCCTCCCACCCCCCACAAAGGTAACTGTGATCCCCCTGTCCTGGAGGTAACCAACACCCACCAAGTTCCGAGTGAACGAGGGGATGTGAAGGCCGCGCAGGACACCAGAGGGGACCACAGGACACGGGAGGGTAGTGGAGCTACGCGCAACGGCTGGTCCTGAGGTAGGATCAGCCAGAGCTACCGAAACAGGAGTAAGGAGTGGCGTGAGGGTCGTGTGGTCGCGGAAGAAGCACTGAGACGCACCAGAGTCCAGCGTGAAGGACAGGGACCCCTCAGCCGGAGGGTCACCTGTCCTAGTGGCTACACAAGCACCTAGAGCAGCAACACAAGCACCTAGACTAGAAAGGCACAAGTCTACACTAGCACGAGGCAAGCAAGCTAATCTACGAACACGCGAGCACACAAATCCATCAGCACTATAGTCAACATCAGCATACAAAGCATGCTGACGAGCATCGTCCATGGACAGATCAAACACATCAATCTTACGGGCTAACAGGTGAGCCCAGCGAGGCGTGGTCGCCGCAGGGCCCCAACGAGCACGGTAGAGGTCGTCGAGGCGGCGGAAGCACCGCACGGCAGAGTGGTCGTCGCGACCGCAGAGACAGGGGCTGCCCGGTCCGGTGAGGCACCAGTGGGTGCAGGGGCCAGTGTCACGGCGAGGGGGGCGAGGGGCCTAGCTGGAAGTACTGCCGCTGCGGCCGGTGCTCCCTGGTCCTCTCGGACCCCACTGCGACGGGGGACCTCAGTGCTGCTGCGGACCCCACTGCAATGGGGGCCCCCACTGCTGGAACTGCTGCGGTGCCTGCTGCTGCTGCGGTCCCTGCTGCTGCTGATGTCCCTGCTGTGGCTGGTGCTGCTGCGACTGCTGCTGCTGGGGTCCAACACCCCCACTGGTCGGGCCACCGCCAATGGGCGGGCCTGTCTGTCCTGCACCTCCTCCAAGGCCCCCTCCTTCCGGTGCACCTCCTCCGCCGCCACCGCCGCCGCCGCCTCCACCACCGCCGCTCCCACCTCCACCGCCACCTCCACCGCCGCCTCCACCGCCTCCACCTCCCCCCTTCCCGCCCTTCTTGCTACTCTTGCCCCGTTTCTGCCAGTCTGCGGCAGAAACGGCAGCAGTGTCGTCAGAAACCGACACAGCAGCAGAAGCGCGGGTAGCAGTGAAAGTGGGAAGCTGAGGGGCGGCACACCCCGCAAAGAGACAGGGGGCCACCGCGTCAGTGGCGGAGGCAACGGTAAGGAGGCTACTCTCGATCGTCCCGAGAGCGGTCTCAAGGAGATCGATAGTGAGCTCAGTGGGGTGCTTCTGGAGAAGCGCGTCGCGAGCAGTGGCAAGGCGGTCAGGGAGGCGGGTGACTAACCAGTGCACAGTGAGCCACATGGGTGGGGGAGCAGCAAGAAGCTGGGCGTCGGTACAGGCCGCACGGAAACCTGCGTCAAGTGAGCGGAGGTGAGTGACTAGGTCGGACAAAGTCGCAAACGAGCCGAGTTCGGGAAACACGAACGGCATGAGGAGGCAACTAAGGGAGGCAGAGGAAGGGGTGGAATAGCGCGCAACAATAGCATCCCAAACCCCCTGAGCTGTCTCCACCTAGGTCAAAGTGGGCGGCCTCAGTCGGGGGGAGGAGCTCCGTCAGCGCAAGAGCGGCGGCAGCGTCCCGGGAGTTCCACACGTCTCTCGCCAGGACCCGACGGTCGTAGTCCACCTGGGCCGCAGGAGTCGGCTCTGGGCTGGTCGGCAGGGGGGCGGGGGACTGGGGCGCCTTGAGGGCACCAGATGCATGGGCCCACAGGGTGGCGCCGTCCTGACACTGACTGGTGAGGTAGCGCGTGGTCTGGCGCTGCCAGGTACTGAACTCGATCGGGCGTCCCTCCTCATCAAAACGAAGGCGGCGGGATTCCATAATGGAGGCCATGCTATAGGCGGCTGGAGCACGGAGGAGGCGGGTCTAAGAGCGAGGAGGGAAATCTAGGAGCGCCAGGTGTGGAGAGGCAAGAGATCGGCGGAGCTAGTGGCTAGGAGCTGGTGGCCACACGGGTCTAACCTAGGCGACCGGTGAGAGTAGCGGCTGCCAGCCGCTGAGTGGAAAGCCTGTAGCAGTAGGAACGGTTTTAGCCCGGGGGTCAGGGCGGTGGCTAGGTGAGAAGTGGCGGTTGGGACGTGAGGAGGAGGTGGCGCGTGGGTTAGGGCGCAGCCTAAGGCGAGGGCAAGGGCTAAGGCGAGGGCGCGGGGCCTAGGCGAGGGCGGGGGCGAAGGCGAGGGCGCGGGCCTAGGCGAGGGCGTGGGCTAAGGCGAGGGCGCGGGCCTAGGTCGCGGGCTGGGGCGACGGGCTAGGGCGCGGGCCGGGGCGACGGGCTAGGGCGCGGGCCTGGGCGACGGGCTAGGGCGCGGGCCGGGGCGACGGGCTAGGGCGCGGGCCTGGGCGACGGGCTAGGGCACGGGCTGGGGCGACGGGCTAGGGCGTGGGCCTGGGCGACGGGCTAGGGCGCGGGCTGGGGCGACGGCCTAGGGCGCGGGGTGGGGCTACGGGCTAGGGCGCGGGCCGGGGCGACGGGCTAGGGCGCGGGCCTGGGCGACGGGCTAGGGCGCGGGCTGGGGCGACGGGCTAGGGCGTGGGCCTGGGCGACGGGCTAGGGCGAGGGCCTGGGCGACGGGCTAGGGGCGCAGGCTAGGGGCGCGGAGGGCGCTAGGCGTGGAGGTCCGCGACGGACGTGGGATAGGGGCGCGGAGGGCGTTAGGCACGGAGAGCGCTAGGCGCGGAGGTCCGCAACGGCGTGGGCTAGGGGCGCGGAGGGCGCTAAGGCGCGGAGGAGGGCGCTAAGGTGCGGAGAGGGCGCGGAGGGCGCGGAGGTGCGCTAGAGAGGGCGCGGGCTAGGAGGTAACGAGGAACTAACCTACTCGTGATACCATCTGAAAGTTAGAATGCAACGGAATGAATGAACTAGCAAAGTGTTGGATACAAATAGGAAACCCTAACATCTGTACCCTCTAAAATGCATCTCACTACAGCCTATAACTATGATAGTTGACAGAAGATTTCATATGGGTAAGATAGAAATTTGAGGTATTTAATTCAAGCCCTCATAAAGAATCAGGAGGGGGCGTTACACTGTTTTCAATTCCTTTAGAATCAGTTACAAATGCCGGTGGTGTTTTTTGCATTGTATCAGCAGTTTAGATTTGAGCCATTCTAACACATTAAGGCATTTAGTAGGAACGGCCTAACACATAATATTTACACTTGAGGATATTCTGTAAAGGAGTCCTCGACTGAGTATTGCCAAACCTAAACACCCTACCGTGCCAGAGTTCGCTCCCACGACCACACCGCTGGCGAATCAAACACGGCCAAGGTGCGCTTCCCTCTGCCACATGGCGTGCTCTGTGCGTTGAACATGCTTGTTTTTTCGCTCGCGCCGCTAATTGAGTTGAACCGAGCCGCGGATAGTGCATTCTGAGTTTTGATACGAGTTTCTGCGCTCGGCATTTTCAACACAACAGATGCTGCCTCACCGACCACTCACTCAGTGTCCTCTCGAGACACTCTACTCTCCAGCCACATGGAGAGTAGAATCGTCATTGTCATCGTGAGTCACTGGGTCGCCTTGAGAAGAGGATAACATCTCACGTTCGGTCTAGACTCACTTACAGGCAGCACAGTCGCGTGGTTGGCCCTGATTCTTCCGCCCCAAGTCATGTGTATTAGGCAGCTCTCGCTGCTCCTTCCCCTCACAGTTGCACTCATCGCCACTCCCGTTTGCTCGACAGCTGGCACTCCGCGGCGGCAGTTGCGGAAGGCGCAGCCAGCAGTGACACCAAACGCCACGCTCGTCCTGCTTGCGAACAACACGTTCGGCGCTAAATGCCTCGACGGAAGGTACTTACTAGCCAGCCAGCTGTCCGCAGCGAAAGGTTTATAATAGTCGCGACGGAGGTTGCGAGAGTTGTCGGAGGTTGCGGAAGGAGCAAGCTCGCGGCTGACTAAATGGAAATCGAGTCTCTTCCCACCATGGTAGTCGCACGCTGAACAGCTTACCCCGGCTGCTTGCGTAAGCACACTGGCATCTCGCGGGCTCCCGTGCACTCAATTCTCCTGCGTTCGCCGGACCACTCATCCGCGCCCTCAGGCGCGATAGGATTTACAGGCACCCCATATCCACTCGACAGCCCCTCGACGCCGAAAGAGTGGGCCTCCACTCCTTGCACGCGCGTCCCACCCTGTCGTGGTGCGATCGTGGCTGGTCGCGAGCCGAGTGTGGCTCTGCTCAAATCGCGGACGTTGGAAAGGAACACCCGTACGCTGCGTTTTCCCGTCCCTTCTTCCCCCTCCTTCCAGCTGGTCTGCGACGTCTTCCCTCCTCGCTGACTCCCCGTCGCACTCTTCCGCCCTCCCGTCACCCCCCTCGCCATGTCCCCGCGTGCACACAGTGGCGACGCGCCGTGGGCTCTCTGGCAGCTCAGCCACCCGCGGGAGTTGCCGCCACGCGGAGCAGCTGGTCGGCGCAGCCGCCACTTCCGCCTTCCAGCGCCTTCGACCCGCCCAGAAACCTCAAACACCCCGTTCCCTTACCTTTCCCCTCTACCTCGGCCCGCGCAGTCCCCCCGGGTACTACTTCCGCCCAGGCGCGGCAACGGGCCGTCTCCGGTGGCACATCTACCTGCCCGGAGGCGCGTGGTGCGTCACCCCCGCCGACTGCGCCGCCAGAGCCGGCACGCGCCTGGGGTCAAGCAAGAGCTTCCCCGCCAACCCCGCGCACTATGTGAGACCTCCCGACTCCGCCAGTCACGGGGGGGGGGGGGGGGCGTTCGAACGGGGGGGGCGTTCGAACACTGTTCCTGTATTCTTCTTTTCGCTCCTCTCCCCTAATGTTCCCCACTCCCTTGTCCTTTATTCAAGCCTTGCTTTCTTCTGATTCTTGCGAAAATGAGTCCTTCTCTGTCGACCTTTTTTTATCCCAAATTGGTGCAAATATCTCCATCCCCATTCCGCCTCGCTCATCCCCCCATCACGGCATGCCGTCTTCCGATCCGCTTAGTACGCGTGCCCCTCACAATTTCCACCCCCCCCTCCTCTGTCCTCCCCCCCCACCCTCCTTCCGCCTCCCCCCTCTCCCGCGCGGCTGCAGGCGGCGCAGCTGAGGCCGCCGTTCGAGGGCATTCTGTCGGGCAGCGCGCAGCAGAACCCCGCGATGTACCAGTGGAACCTCGTGCGCCTCATCTACTGCGATGGGGGCGGGTACGCCGGCACCAGGGGTGCGCTCAACGTCTCTGCTGCTGCTGCTGTCCCTCCGAACGCAAGCGCCGCTGCCAACTCAACGAGCCCTTCCAATTCCACCAAGTCAACCAAGTCAACCGGGTCAACGAAGTCATCCGCATCCACGACGTCAGCCATTTACCTGGACGGGTGGAACATCATTCAGGCCGTGATTCAAGGTGCGCCACCCGCTCGCCCACTCCACTGTGCTCTGCGTGTGCCCCCTTTGCTGTCTGCAGTGCACGCGGTGTCTTCAACCTCATACTGCCATGGCACCAGCCACTCACCACTAGGTCCCCATTTCCCGCTCTCCCTTTCGCCCCTCCTTGACCTCGTCCGGCCTCTCCCCTCCTCTCACCTATATCGTTTCGTCTCGCCTCGCTCGTCTCAGTGCTGCCTGCTCTCCATCCCTTGGCACTCCAACCCCACCCTCCCTCTCTCTCCCCGCCTGTCCCCTTGCACTCTTTACCTCGTTCTCGCCGCCTTGCCTCTTCACATCCTCTCCTTCTCGCCCGCCTCGCCGCCTTGCCTCTGCCCCTCCTGCCATGCAGACCTCGTTCAGAAGCGTGACATGCGCTCAGCCTCACAGATTCTTCTTTCAGGCAGCTCAGCAGGAGGGCAGGCGACAGTGAACCTCTGTGATTGGCTGGCGTCGTCCTTCCCATCTGCCTCCACGCGCTGCCTCGTTGACTCGGGCTTCTTCCTTGGTACGCCCCACCGCCCTTCACCTAGTATCCTCCAACGCCTTCTCAACACTGTTCCGTGTGCTACGTGTGGTCTCCACGTGAGTAGGCAAGCCTCCAACTCTGAAGCTGAAGCGTTATTGCTAAGGAAGGAACATTTTGGGCGTGTGAAGGTGTGCTTTTCGCATGTTATTTATGGGAGCGGTTGGCTAACCTCACCAGCTAGTAACCTGTTTGGACACAGTGAGGTGCAGTGAGTGCGCTCTCTCCAGCAGTGCACAGAGTGTTTGAACGAGGCACGCACAGCTTGATCACCTCGTGCAACACTCAAGGCCACTTCTTGTGTCTTCTTCATCTATCTCTTCCTTCCTCTGTCGTGCAACAACAATCCATCAACCCTGTCGGACTTCCCCCCCACAGACACACGTGACCGCGCTATGAACTACACCTTTCGCTCGCTGGCTCAGAACCTCACCGCACTGCACCGCCCCTCCAACCCCACCTGCCCCTATGGTACCTCATCTGCTCCCATGCTACCTCATCTGCTCCCATGCTACCTCATCTGCCCCCATGCTACCTCATCTGCCCCCATGCTACCTCATCTGCCCCCATGCTACCTCATCTGCCCCCATGCTACCTCATCTGCCCCCATGCTACCTCATCTGCCCCCATGCTACCTCATCTGCTCCCATGCTACCTCATCTGCCCCCATGCTACCTCATCTGCCCCCATGCTACCTCATCTGCCCCCATGCTACCTCATCTGCCCCCATGCTACCTCATCTGCCCCCATGCTACCTCATCTGCCCCCATGCTACCTCATCTGCCCCATGCTACCTCATCTGCCCCCATGCTACCTCATCTGCCCCCATGCTACCTCATCTGCCCCCATGCTACCTCATCTGCCCCCATGCTACCTCATCTGCCCCCATGCTACCTCATCTGCCCCCATGCTACCTCATCTGCCCCCATGCTACCTCATCTGCCCCCATGCTACCTCATCTGCCCCCATGCTACCTCATCTGCCCCCATGCTACCTCATCTGCCCCCATGCTACCTCATCTGCCCCCATGCTACCTCATCTGCCCCCATGCTACCTCATCTGCCCCCATGCTACCTCACCTGCCCAGACCCCCCTGCCTCGCCCCCTTCTCCCCCCTCCCCCAACACAGCAGCGAGGCCGGCACAGCAGTGGCGGTGCTTCTTCCCGCAGTACACTCTTCACAACACCTCCACACCGCTCTTCCTCTTCCACACGCCCTTTGACTATGTAGCAGCCATGATTGGTAACCTGCTGCCGAATAACAACACATATGCAAGCAGATGCTTGAAGGAGATTATTAACAGCCAAAAGAATCTGTCAACTGTTGTGAGGAACAAGGCATGGAGCGGCATACGGTGGAATTCCATCTCTGCATGCTCGCAGACTGAGCGTGAAACATTACTCTGGACAGCATTTGGGTTGTACGACCAAGTGAAGATTCTTTCGCAGGAAAGGTCGTCTATAGGAGCGTTCATTCCATTTTCATACGTGCATTCTGCCATTACAAATTCTTATTGGAATATGCCATGGATAAATGGTACGTCCTTATCAAATGTTTTCAACGTATGGTCGAGCATTGTGCTTCAGAATGTGTCCATCATAGTATCTCAATAATGTTACTCAAACCTTTTACCGTACCAGTGCTAACAGGTTGTGTTATGCGTTAGGTTCTAGAGAGCGCAGAATGTATGATAACTGTTACACGTGTAAATGAAAGAGCAAAACTAACGTGTCAAGGTGTTAAGGTGAGATTGTCCGAGTTGCACGAAAAAAAACGAATAACGAAGCTTGAGACTAAATCAACTGACGATATGGTACAATGAAAGGCACTCGATTATTTAGCAGGTCAACCTAGGGAACACGAGTCTGGGCGCAGGTTGGGCGAAGGGAAACCGAAGGCGACGCGAGGTTGCTTCGGCAGCAAGCAAACCGGCCGAACATGCACTTCCGAAAAGTATGGGTTGTACGCGAAACAATAAACCCTAGTAAGGAAAAGGGGGTTTTCCTTACACTAACTTGCAGACCCAGTCTTTTCGTAAGCACGCGGGCACAGCGAAGCACAAGCTGGCGATGGCGAGACAAACGGCTGTGCAGGAGTGCGGTGCGAGGCAGCCGCAGATTGACCAGCATCGCGCCACAGTGGACGGAGAGCAGATGCGCGTCGTCGCCCTTCTCGACTCATTGCTGTTCATCAGCAGGTCCGACGCGCCCATGGGGATGTGGGTGAGGTTGGTGCGTTACCTGGCGGAGAAGGGCGTGCCCGGCTTCCCGAAGAAGGGGTACGGCACCTATTACACCACGTGAGTGCAACTGCCGGAAGCTATTTAATACACATCGGTAGGTCAATGTTTTATTTCTATACTAATGTTCTCACTGTTGTTCCCATGTGCAGATACGGCTTCGGTGAGCTGACGCAAGCGACTGCGACATGGCTCCAGACAACCCAGCTTGAACACGTGCTGGCATCGCCCTTCGTCGGCATCTCGATTGACGAGAGCACGGATAGGTGCAGCGGGAAGCACCTGATCCTCTTTGTCACGTTCATCCATGACAACAAGCTTGTCACGGAGTTCATGGCGTTACTTATCGTGGAGAAGTCCGACGCCGCTTCTCTTCTGCGTATTCTGCTGTCGCATCTGCAGGCAGTCGGGATCGACCTTCAGCGCATCGCGGGGATCAGCACCGACGGTGCCAACGTCATGATGGGCAGCAAGTCTGGCCTCACCACCCGCCTCCGCCTGCGCATCCCCCATCTGGTGTCATCCCACTGTATCGCGCACAGGTATGTCGGTTGTTGCATAAACTTGCCGTGCGTTTTTTAAGTTTGTTGACCTTCCCGATATACTAATGTTATTATTTTTGTTGTACAGGGAGGCACCGGCGGCTAAAACAGCCGCCGAGAAGATTCCGGCGTTCAATGTCATTGACATGGTGATCCGCACCGTGGCAGAGCATCTTGACCGTTCAGGGCCATGGCACCAACGGTTCATGGGGCTCTAAGAAGTTTTCGCTTCCACTTCTCTTGAGCTCCAGGGCATTCATTCCGTCCGCTGGCTTTCACGGGGCGACGCAGTGCTCAGGCTTGTTGCTGTGCTTCCGGCTCTCATCGTGATGCTGAAGGAGTGGGACGCAAAGCTGTATGCTCTTGTGACAAGTTACAAGTTTCATTTCCTTCTTTTCTTCATTGCAGATGTGCTTGAGCAGCTCAACATCCTGAACAGGGCGTTCCAGCACAAGGAAGTGAGTAAGCTCATTGTTTTCTATCATTTTTGTTTTGTGCGGTGGCCATTCTGCTATAATCCTGCATGTTTACCGTCAATTGCCACTAACTACCATCTGTCTTGTTTCTGTCCTGCTTGACTATGCGAGCGTGCATGCGCAGATCAAGCGCACAACGTCCCACATCGAGAGCCGCTACGTTGATTGCGGCGACGACTTCGGTGGCGGCGTGAGCAAGCTGCTGTCCCCCTTCATTGCGCGCCATGGGCCAGGTGGAAACCGGGAGGTGAAAGTCGAAGGGGTTGACTCAGACGGCCGTCCTGCACGCTTCACCTTCAGGCTGCATGAGGACGAGCTGGAGGAGTTCGAAGGGCGCGGGACCCACGATGACTGCGTGGAGGTCTGCACGGAGTTCGCGGAGGTGATCGTTCACCAACTCGAGCATCGGCTTGGCGACCTGGAAGGGATGTCTGGGGCAAAGCTATTCATCCCAGACGAGTACCCGCTGGATCGAGTAGAGAGGAATCGGAGGTGCCTTCAGTGGCTACGGTCGCTTGTGACTTTGTTCAAGGCCGACATGACGGAAGAGATACCGCCAGGTAAGCCTATTGAATGGCCGTTATATCATGCTTCATCGTTGCTCTGTTTGTGTGATGTGCTACTCTTCAATGTATGTTTGTACTTGTGTACACATTTTGTTCTTTTGATATCCTTTTCCCAACCCCTCCAGGAGTCAACAAGCGCCGTGCAGAGAAGGAGTTGCGCATGTTCACCTCAGTGCTTGCAGCCTCTACCAAGGGCGAGCGCAGCTTCCACGCAAGGCTCACAGCCATGCTCAAGACACCCGATTGGCGGACAACTACCCCAACCTTGTGCTTTTGTGGGTGTCGGTAGCTGCACTGCCGCTGAGCAATGTGGAGTGCGAGCGGGGGTTCTCCAGGCAGAACATTATCAAGTCGTGGCAGAGAGGCGCGCTGAAGGACGCACGGCTTGGAGATCTCATGTGCATGAGTCTCATGGATTACGAGCCCAAGTGGGAGGAGATTGTGACAATCTGGAGGGCCTACAAGAAGCACAAGCCCCACAGCAACGCTCCACTCCCGCCTGCAGGAAAGCATCAGAACAAGGCCAAGCTGGCAGATGAGGTGATGGAAGTAGAAGACATAGAAGAGGACAATGATGCATCTGACAGTAATGATGATGATGGATTTGATGAGTAGGGTGGATAACTTAGATAGGTAGGAAGGATGTAGAGTCTGTAAGGTAGTTACAACTGTCTAATGTAGGCTAGTCTAGTCTAGTCTAATGTCAAATGTTGTAGGCCAATCTAATGTAGTTCAACGAAGGCCAATCACAAACAGATCAGACTCCCAGTGAGGATGAGTCTGAACGTTTCAGACTTTTTTTTATGGTGACTCTGAAATTTCAGCTTTTTATAAAAACCGACTCTAACAGTTTCAGACAAAAACTGTAGACAAGTCTGACAAATCAGACAGGCCAAAAACGAATCTGAGGGCCTGGATGGCACCCATGTGTCGTCCATGTGTTGGTCCTGCGAATCAAGAAGTCTACGTGGCGCCCAGTGGAGTCAAGTCGTACGCAATGCCCCAAGATTTTTTTACGGTCAAGCGTCAGTTCGGGTACAGGTCGTTGTTGGGCTGATAAAAGCCCTTAGGATCGTTTCAAGGCTAAGACTCGAAGTGATGATGTAATTGCGGAAGCGTTGTAGTGAACTGGTTGAACCACCTTGCACTAGTGTGTGAGAGCAAGATAGATTGATTATAGTAAAGTAGTACAAGGCTTTATATGATTACAAAAGAATATGAAAAGACATAACTAACTGTTGCTGATGCGATTCGATACAGCTGCGACTCGGGCAACTGCTCAGTAGTGAGTCAGTTGGTTGTCCTTGCTGTCGCGCTGCCTTTCGATGAGTCAAAGGTCGCTGACCTTTGACCTTCGCTTAACCTCCTTGCTGTTACTTTTGTCAACTTCTTCGTTTGACTCGCTGTTGCTTTGCTGTAGTCTGCCTCACTTACGATTTACTACTTCGACACATCAGAAGCGCAAACTACATGTTTCCAACACTCCCCTTTGCTTATGGAGTGTCGTTGCTGGTGACGTGGCCTTGTCCAGTCAGCAGCATGCAGTACTCGAACTTCTGCTTTCCAAGTTTCTTGGTCAAGTAATCTGCTGCCATCTCGGATGTGGGGCAGTAGGATAGCTCGAGTCTTCCTTTCTCGATCTCGTCCTTCAAGAAGAAATATCGCAGGGCGATGTGTTTCGTTCGGTTCGCGAACCTGTTCTTGTTCGCTATGCGAATTGCTGATTGGTTGTCGCAGAAGAGGGAGAAGCTGGGTAACTGGGCCAGTTTTGCTTCTTCCAGTAGTTCGCGAAGGTACAGCCCTTCCTTGGTGGCTGAGCAGAGTGCTATGTATTCTGCTTCAGCTGAAGAGAGAGCAATTAGCTCTTGCTTGCTCGACTGCCACAAGATAGGACCGATAGGCTCGAGTCGGTAGATATAGCCGGTGCGTGATCGCCTGTTATTGTCATACTTATATGTTGCATGTTGTATAGGCTGTAGTGGGGTAGCCCATATAGGGTACAACCCACTTAGGGTTAGTACTTGTACCCATCTTGCTGCTAGTTCATTCATCCTCGTTCAGCTATTTCGACATGGTTTCAGAGCAGGTCCTAGCCTAGGACCGTTTTTTTTTAGGGCCCACCGAATCGCGCTACCCCACACGTCGCGCCGCCCTGTTAGCGCCGCGCTGCCCTGCCCTGCCCTGCGTCGCGCTGCCCTGCGCACGACCTGCCTTGCGTTGCGCCGCCCGTGCACGCCCTGCCCTGCGTCGCGCTGCCCGCGCACGCCTTGCCCGCGCGCCGCTCGCCGCCGCGCCGCGCCGCCCTGCCCGCGCGCTGCTCGCCGTCGCGCGCCCTGCCCTGCCCGCGCACCGCTCGCCACGGCGCCGCCCTGCCCGCGCGCTGCTTGCCGCCGTGTGCC